GAGACCATGACCAAGGAAATCTAGAGAAGAAAGAGTTTATTACTGCTCACCAGCTTCAGAAGGTAAGTCCATGATCATCAGCATGAGAGCAGTTGGGCAGGCATGATGCTGGAGGGGTAGCTGAGAGCTCATATCCTTATGTAAAAGAGAGAGAGAGAGAGAGAGAGAGAGAGAGAGAGAGAGAGACTGACTGACTGACTGACTGACTGACTGACTGACTGACTGACTCAGAAGCCCATCACCAATGATTTCTCCAACAGACCACACCTCCAAACCCTTTCCAAAGTGTTCCACCAACTCGGGATCCAGTATTCAAACATATGAGCCTGGGGGCAGGGGTGGGGGTTTACCACAATAAGCCAGTTAAGTGTTAATGTAAACAAACAAACCAAGTGTTAGAAGGAGGTATCCTCAACGGCTAGACAATGTGATTCTTAAAACCCAGTGGTTATTAAAAAAACAAACAAACAAAAATTCCATTGCCAGGTATAAGATATCTCCTTGTTGGTTGTTGGTTAGAGAAGCTCTAGAGACACCCAAAACAATTACCATCAGATCAAGTTACTATGACCCTGCTGGTGAAAACACAGCACACCTTTCTTGCTAGATATAGAAGAATCAAATGGGAACTGAGCTGGAAGTGTCCTATGTGCTGGAACAGTAAGTGAAGAAAGGACAGACACACATACAGAAAAACCTGTGTTGGGTAGGCTCTTTTCACTCTGAGAGATTAGTATCAACCTCTCAACAACTTGGGACTTCAGTGTGTTTTTTATGTAGAGCACAAGAGGTGGGATTAGCTAGTCTCAATAGGAGGACTGACTCTATAGGCAAGAAGTCTCAGGTTGTTGGCATCCCCAAGGAAGAAGCTGCCATTGCTAGTTTTCGCACACAATGCCAACATTCTCAATTGAACCAGAGGAAGGTTTTATCATTGCTCTGTGCCTCACCAGGGCAGAGTAGGGGTGGGGAGCTGGAGGAAGGCTTTTCCAAGTTCCACGAGTCTGAGACATTGGGGTCTTTGACGTGGTTGTGCCATGTTAAACAATGCACATTCACTTAGAACTTCATCTACTCTTTACACATTCACTTAGCAGTGTTTTACTCCCCATACCCAACTAATTTAACTGTAGTTAAAGATTATTTAAAATCCTTAAGTTCAAACTTCAATAGTCTGAGGTGAAAGTGATGCCTGAATCTTTGTTTACAAAGATGTCTTCTTAAACATTGGTCTGCTTGGAAACGTTTGCCCAAAGCTGACTCATAGACAAAGTGTTTTATGCTTCATCCTTTCAGGGAACCCATGGAGGTTTAATGACTAGACCTTATACAAAAGCTAAGTTTGTATATTTTTCCTTTGGGGCAACGTTTTCATTTTCAGATAGTCCCAATATTAGCAGTAGGAAGGATACTACAAAAACAGTTGCTCCTACTTGGGGCACTCCCAACTAAATTACAAAGATTTTAACATAGTTGTAATATTTTGCTCATTATACCATGGCTCAACCCTCCATATGATCTTCAGTAGCTTGACTGCTGATTCAATAGACCAACTACAACAGCCCTCAAAACTGACTAAACCTTTCAGTTTCTTTAGCCAAACATATTTCCATTAATTCCTCTAAATCAGAGATCTGTACTTTTTTTTATTTGCAACACTCATTATTTTCCCATAGAATAATTTCTGGCATTCTATGCAAAATTAAATGTAAATATCTTTATTAAAGAGAAGCATACTAGAATAAGTGATTTAAAACATGATAGCTAAGATTCAAAATTAGTTATAAGGTATTTCCACAGTAAGCTCCCAAGAAAAGATAAACTAAATAAATAAAAACTAAAGTTAGGTGATTTCAAAACATAAAGTGGGACCCTTGACCTGGAAGAGAAGGAGTCTACTGAGTACTTTTATTTTATTATTTATTTATTTTAAGATTTTTTTATTTATTATGAATACAACATCCTTCCTCCATGTATGTCTGCACACCAGAAGAGGGCACCAGATCTCATTACAGATGGTTGTGAGCCACCATGTGGTTGCTGGGAATTGAACTCAGGTCCTCTGAAAGAGCAGTCAGTGCTCTTAACCTCTGAGCCATTTCTCCAGCCCTACTGAGTATTTTTAATATTGTTCAATAACACTGCAGGAGATAAACACTTAGCTTCCTATCTCTTACCCTAGATTTATCACAGCATCTTCATGGACTTCAGAAACACAGATGACAAGGTCTTTAACTGTGGTGACATTTGGGTATGTCAAGTTACTAAATTCTAAGATTCTTAAAGAGTACTTCTAAGTCTCATGTTTTTTAATTTATCCTTTGGAAATTGTCCATGACATCTGGAGCTTTCTTTGACATGACCCTAATGAAAAATAATACCAATGTTTTCCTTAGTTATGCTATTGTGTTCTTAATTGGGTTCTATTGTACCTCTTTGCCTACCCAAGCCTTCAACTTTATTTCTACTCTAAGACTTCATGTGTAAAACTCCTCTAGACATGGGAGGGGCCAAAACATATAATGGATATGACTAAGCAGTATTAATTCACACAGAGGCCTTTGGGTTATTTCATATGTCTTCTTCATTTGTTTCTTTCTCCATTATTTTAACTATAGGTATGATATTTTAATTATGTGTTGCACATAAATGATTATTAGAAGACATCCTTTCTGCCTACTCAGCTGCCTCTAGGAATGAGCTTCTCTTGCTCCATGGAAGATCAGACAACATTTGGCCTCTTCAAGAGTAAAGTATGATGCCTGACCAATTTATTTGTTACTTTTCTCTTGCTGTAGTAAAAATGCCATGACCTAAAGTAACTTTAAGGAAGAAAGGGTTTCTTTTAGTGTATGGTTCCTGAGGTATATAATTCATCACTGTGGGAAAGGAATGGCAAGGGGTAGACCAGCCATGGCAGCAGAAGCAGGAAGCTGGTTAGTCCCATTTTCATTCACATGTAAGAGGGAGAGTGGGAGGGAGGGAACAAGGAAAGGAAATCTGAAGGAGAGGGACAGGGGAGGAGGGGGACAGAAGAGGAAGTAGGTTGCTGCTATAAATCCTCCAAGTCTGCCATTAGTGACATACTGCTTCAGCACGGTACCAACCACCTCCTAAAGGTTCCCTACCATTCCTAAACAGCACTGCAAACTAGTTGACCAAGTGTTCAAATCCATGAATCTATACAGGACATTTCCCATGCAAACTACCCGAGCCAAGAAGGAAAACTTTGAACTGGAGTTTCAAGAATTAAATAGAACATGTGTATTAAGACAAGTCTGGGGAAATCCAACACAATATAAAACATATCCTTTCAATCTCAAAGTCCTGGGCATTGCCAGTATCCTTTCCCAAAAGGATACCTATCTTCTCTCTGATTGCTTAGTTCACTCTTGGCCTTCCTCTTCTTAATAATTATATTGTTTATGTCTTCAGAACCTAACAACTTCAATTGCAAACGGTGCTCCAACAACAGGTGCCACCAGGATTGACAAAACAGGCAAAGGGAGTCATCTGCTTGTCCCTTGACCAGCAGCCTGAGAACTTTTCTAGGCATTCACTAATGGAGACTCAGGAGATATAACAGCCTTAGGGACAAAATAGGAAACATGATTTTACCCTGTTCAACTTTAGACCTCTAAACAGCACAGAGCAGTTTAAAGACTGATCTTCAACTCTCCTGGTAAATTATGGAGAAAAGTCAATGAAGTTGAGAACTATATGCATAGTGCACAGCTTAGCACTTTGGAGCTTCATTTGGCTATACACAATCCTTCCCCTAACAACGCGCTAGCAACCTGTTGGCAACGTAGAACACGCACCTGTGTGGAGCTGTATCCACACGCCACTGTGAACAATGAAATAGGTGTTTCTTCCCAGTAGAAACCAACAGTTTCTCTTCAGTCATATTCCAGTTACACTAGCGTCTAAGAATGGGGTCCAGATTCCTCCTGGACTAGATTTTGTGCGCATGCACAATAAAGAAAGTGTATTCCTAGTAAACTTTTAGGAAGGATATGCTACTGAACCATCATGTGATTCTGCATAGTTGGTTGTGCATAAGATTAAAATCAAACACATTACAGGAAAGGACTTCCATAGTGACAAACGGTTTACATAATCTGCTCTGTCAATCAAAACAGAGAACCATTGATGCTACACCCTTTAGCTACCAAATACCTCCTTCTCTGAAAGCCCATAGAATGAACCCTCCAAATAATAGGGCCTTTGAGTGGGCTCACTGATGTGGCCCGCTATCACTCGACTGTATGTATTTCTGATCTGTACTATGGCGGTGCACTTAGTTTTGCTGCTACTTTGCAATCCTAGTGTATTGTTCTTTCAATTTCTTGAACAAGGGACCAAGAATGTGGATACTCCCAGCTCTGAACTTAACAGGTAAAAGCTACACCAAGAGGGTTTACACCAGAGGGCAGAGAGCAGCGGCACTACTTGGTATCAGGACAAGGAAAATGTCTTAGTCATGTAAATATTATTAAGGGGAAAAGAAACAGGAGAAGGTTAAAGCGGCCTGGGAAGCTGAGCCTAGGCAGAACAGACCAGCAAGTTTAGGAGTGCTTAGGAAAAGCGAGCCAGCACAGAGGAAGAAATCAGAGGTGAAAGCCGACCAAGAGACGCAGGAAGAGCAAGCAGCGCTCTGAGCGCTCTCAGCAGTTCAAGGACCATCCATCTCTTAAAGGCTACATCCTAAGGGGCAAACCTGGGAGCGCGTGCGCTCTGGGACACAGAGGGTTCTAGCGCGTCCTCGGAGAGCTCCGCGCGACCGCGGCGGCCAACGGTGGCTACGAGCACGCGCGCTCCCGTGGCCGCACCCCCCTCGGCGGGGGCGGGCCGAGGCGGAGGTGGTGACGTCAAGGCAGGGCGCGCGCCGCGGGGCCGCGGGCGGAGCCGGGAGGCGGGCGCTGTGCGCGACCGCGGGCGGAGAGGAGGGGCTGGGGGGGGGCGGAGCGCGGCGTAGCCAGGAAGGCGGGGGAGGAGAGGCCCGGGGAGCCGCGCGGCAGCTGGGGAGGGGGCCGCGGCTGGGCGCGAGCGAGCGAGCTAGCGAGCAAGCGGAACAGCTGATCTGGTTTTCCCTAAGCCAGGGAAGATGGAAGTCGGCTAGCGGTGACTGCGGCGCTGCGGGCGGAGCGGCGGGCGGCGCGGCAGGTGAGCGGCGCTGGCCGCGGTGCTGCCCGGAGGGCGGCGGGCCGGGCGCCACGGGCAGGTGCGATGGGGCGAGCGGCGCGGGGGTCGCCCTGCCCTCGGCAGCGAGGAGAGTGGGCGCGGGCCGGAGCCGCAGGGCGCGGAAGGCGCGGGGCTCGCTGCGCGTCTGCATTGCGGGATCCGTTTGGGATCCCGTGGGCGCCACGGCCACCGGCTCCGGCTTTAACCCGGCGCGGGCAGGGCGCGGCGCTCCCGCTGGCTCCGGTAGCTGCCTCCTGGCCCTTTTTGCGGTTCCCTACTGGAACGTGATGACAAACGCGCGGGGACTGGGCCCTCGGTCCGTGGGGTCCCGTCGGCGGTCCGAAGGGCAGGGCCGGTCCAGAGCGGCGCGCGATGCCGCTGGCTTGCACGGGGGCTATGGCTGCTTGTCACCGTGGCCCCGCGCACCTCTCGCTGGTGGTTTCTTTGGGTCTGGCTGGACAGCCGCGAAACGATTGATGCAATTTGGCTCTGAACCCAGAGGCCTTCCCTAGTATCTCCTCACTGGAGGGGAAAAATTGAATCTGTTGTGCTTTAAGTGCTCCTTTAAATTTGGGAGATGTCAGTGATGTCATCATTAACTAAAACTTTCCTTCATTGGACATAACCGCTCAAGTGTACCCTCCTCCCGACCGGTGCAAGCAACTGCAGCTCTTTGAGAATCTTAGCCATCGAAGGGATTTGCCTCTCTGCGCTCAAACCCCCCAAACTCATATAAGTGCAGTTTTTATTCTGTTGACTTGAAGATTAGTACATTTAAGAGTGACTGGAAGGAAATGTGTCCCTACAGGTCTGGAAATCAGCTGGTCCAGAGCATATAGATCCATCGTATAGAGTAGTACACACCTGCACCTTGCCTTATCTCTGTAAATGAAAGTGACCTGTAGGAGAAACACCTTAAAAGAAAGAAAAAAAAAAAAAAAACAACGATCTATTTAATGTGGTGTCCAAGCAAAGACAGATAATGGGGCCTAGGTCTCTGCAGGCCTTGATTGCTTCAGGTGAATCTGCAGGGTTCCTCCTTCTCCAACATCCCCTTCTAGGGTGTGCCCGAGAGAGGTCCGTCCCCCACCGCAAAGGTTTTTCTAGGGCTCTTCCAGCCGTTGTGTGTCCAGACCCCAAGACCTCGCCAAAGCGTTCAGGGAATGTGAAAGCTAGAGATCTGCACAGCACACCAAGTTCTGGGGGAAAAATTCCTCTACAAATGCCAGCAGCAAGCCATCATTTGATTATCTGAGTGTGCCATTAGTATCGGCTCTTATGGGAACAGAGGAAAGCTAGTTCCCAAGACACTCTGAACATCTACTTAAGCCTATTGTATCAAAATGATATCTAATAAGAGACAAAAGTATTGATGTTTTTGTATTTAATAATTAATGACACCTCCTAATTGGTTAAAAGAAGGATGCCTTGAATTATTAGTGTGATCATATTGGATTTGCAAGGAATTTAATGCCATAAACCACAGGAAGGTTTGAATTTGGCTACAAATGGGAAGCATTTGAACCCTGAAAACAGTGTTTACTGTGGGGGGTCGTTGCTGTTCAGGGTGATAGTGAATGTAACCCATTGCTTCGTGGAGTCTGGATAGGTATTAATCTCACTTATGCCTAGATTCTAAGTAGCAGGTGTTCCCCTGGGAAGTAAATTCTGAGGTTCCCCGACCCTGCTGGAGAAAGAGAGGGGACAGCTACCAAGAGCAATGTGCACGTCACAGTCTCTGACCTCTTGATAATGTCAGACTTACAGTGACATGCTGAGTGAGCAAGTCTTGTAGTGAAGCTGACCACATGCAGTGCTTTTCTGTGGGTTTTCTTACACAGGTTGCCTTGTGCTGTGTATAGTGTCAAGATCCTTCTGTATTTAAAGTGCCTTGAGTGGTGAGTGGTTTTAGTGCTCTTGGATGTGAACATGGAATCTTTGAAACTGTGGTGGCATTTGTATCTATGGTTTCCACCTGTAGACCTGTTAAAATAGTCATATTTTTATTTATTTACTTTAATACTCACGAATGTATAACAGCAACTATTTTCTCTAGATTTTTTAGGGATTAGTCACTTATCTCCTGTAACATTTTGAGAACACACTTGAAATGTGTTTAGGTTGAGTATTATGCCCTTCATTTCTGAGAAGCCCAGATTGCCTTACCATATATCATTTTGTCTGTCCCTCTGGATTTTAAGGTCATTCATCCATGATTTAGTCCCATAGAATAAAGGCTGAGTCAGCTCAAATCAGGCCAGCAGGGGGCGTGCTAGATGTGACTTGGCTGAGCCTCTACCAGACTTTTGGGATTACAAGAGTGTATGGTGTGTGTGTGTGTGTGTGTGTGTGTGTGTGTGTGTGTGTGTGTGTGTGTGTGTCGCACTGTGTGCCCAAGGAATGGAAACTGGAGAAGATGTGCTTCTGAGTGACCAGAGGTAGAGGTCTTCAGTGTGGTGATATTTTTGTTTGTAATCTAACAAATAAAGTTTGTCTGAAGATTAGAGTGCAGAGATAAGCCACTGGTTAGCCACACACCTAGTTGTGAGCTAAGACACTAGGTAGAGCACACACACACACACACACACACACACACACACACACACACAGAGTCACTATTTAGCCACACACCTAAGCCATTTGTTAGCCATAGAGGACAGGCAGTTGTGGTCACACTTTTAATCCTAGAACTGGGGAGACAGGGGCAGATAGATCTCTGTGAGTTCAAGGCCACCCTGAGCTACATGAGTGTGAATCAATCTAAAAGAGAAACAGAGCTCACACTTCAGTGTGAGATGTGTGTAATTGCCCCCATCTTTGAAGGGTGGTTGATGGTCCTTAGTACCTCTTGAGGCTGAGGATTCATTGATTTCAGGAATGTTATTTTGGAGAGAAGAGTCATCCTCAGGGACATGCAGTCCTGGGTACTGATGAGAACATAAATGCCCACTAGAGCCACTGCTGGAAACTTTCTACCCATAATGATTGCCCCTGGTGTTTATTTCTGACTGGCCAAACCCTGGTTCTCTGTGTTGTGGCACTTCCCAGGTGAACCTCCTTGCCTTCCTTGGTAGAGTTATTAGTCTCAGGGTCTTTCTGATGGAGAAAAGCAAATGTTTAATCAATGTTCAGCATTATCCCCTAGAAAATGAGAACAGGAGAAGTTTGGCAACTACTTTTCATCTTAATGTGGTTGTTATGGCTGTAATGTGTGCCTACAGTTACTCAACCATGTGTTCCCTGAGAGGCTGTGCCTCATGGACAGTGAACTCAGACTGTCAGTGTCTGCTTGAGGCTCACCTTAGGGAGCTCTTGTGGGCATGCCCCATGTCTTCCATAACTATTGAGGGTACAGTTGTGTCACTGAACACCAAAGATTCCTGATGGATCCGACCTACAAAAGGGCGTTCTTGTGCCTTGAAAGGAAAGTTTAGTGGACACCCCACTAGCGACTTCTTCAGGTATCCTGACTAAGTATTCTCACTACTCCTTTGAAATTGCCTGGAAGAACAAATCACTGGTTTCCAGGGGGCAAATGGTAATGTCACAATTTTTAGCTTTCTGCTGGACCAGGCTTTTTACTTTGGCACTATAGATGGCCATGGATAAAGTGCCACTAGACATTAAAAACAAAGGTTACCAAATAACTTACAAAGCTATTGCCACTGAGGGTGACCAGAGAAAATTCTACTCAGCTAGAATCCAGAAACCTGCAGGCATTTAAGTAGAAATAAAACATACAAGTCTCTTTTATAATTCATTTAAAAATATTTTGAACTCCACAAAGAGTATTTGCCTGTTGATAGACTGCTGTGTCTCCAGGAAGTTTGTGTGTAAAATGTAGATGATTTTACCACAGACATGTCAAAACAGTGCAAGGAGAAGCCACCTTTGTTACACTTGAGGGTAGAATTTTTTTTAACCATTTATAGTTATAGACAGGTGAAGTGGTTTATAAACGTCTTAAAATAAGAGAGTTTGTACCTTGTCTTATTGCATCTTCTTATGTTGTGTTTGGTTGATAGCCCTGGGAGGCCTGCTCTTTTCTGAAGGGTAATGGAGGAGAAGTAGATCTAAGGGAGAGGGGAGGTTAGAGAGGAGATAGGAGGAGTGAAGGGAGGGGAGCTGCAGTCCAGATTGTATGGGAGAAGAATAAAATAAATGAACCTATGGAAGGGCTGGATGCAACTTGTCCCCTTGACGGTGTGGTGGAGGTATATTTGACTTGTAGATGACATCTCTGGACTAAGAAGCAGAAGAGTCAACACAAGGATGCTGAGAGTACACATCTGGCAGCAACTCTCAGCCAGCCACTCTGTGACTTGATCATGTCCCAGGTTCCTCATGACAGAGGGAAACACTTTGCTTCCCATGTCCCCAAACCCTTATCTTGTAAAACTAGGGACTCCACACAATTCCAGTACTGGCTCTAGGAATAAAGCACACATTGAAGCTAGCACAGCTCTTATGTGCAACTCTTTCACTTTAAACTAACTAGACCATTTCGTAAGTTCTGGATTGAGTTTTTCCTCCCAAGAAAATATTTTCTATTTGAGCATAGTTTATACTTTCCTAGTTTCTCTTACCAATGCTATAGAAATGTGATGAGTGAATGGATATAGATGAGTGTGATGCTGTGCTTGATTTATGAAACATGGAATTAGACATTTTCTACTCATTTCTTGTCTTTTCAATTTCATTCATTTTATTAGCGTACCACACTTTCATGTGGTTCTGGGATAGCTACCCATACACTGATGCGGTTGTGCAAAGTTCTTCCTTTACTGGACAGGGCTTAAAAGCACACTTGGAAGGAGGCTGCCTGACACAGGCACAGAAACCTGCCCAAGTGACAGTTACACTATCCAGTCTATTTGTATTTGACAAATTTAGAGAAAATACTATTTTATCTTTATGAGTCTAAAGTTTTATACCTCATTTCCATTAAGGAAAATTTTAAGTACAATTATTTAGTCTTTAAC